GCACCTCACCCCAGCACAGCAGCCCAGCTGTACAGCTGGACCCGTGCCCGATGGACAGAGGACTCCCTCGCTCACGCCAAGGCCAAGGCCGAGCACATGCTCAACCAACTTGATAAAATGACTGTCACACAAGCGGACTTAGGTGGACACAACCACCGTTTCAAACGGTTCCTGGGAGCTTTGCTCGGAGCCGCCGCTGCTGTCAGAACTCTGTCAAGCATTGGTATGCCCAGTGCCAACGCAGTGAACCATGTGACTGAAATTCGGACTGAGGTCCCACAGCTAAGACTGCCACTCACAACACAGAGTGCATCCCTGCAGACCATCGGAAAGACATTGATGGGAACTGTGGTAATTCTCAACCTTCACAGCGTTCTGCTGAACCAGACAGTAAAATCCATGAAACAGCTGTTTACTGTCTTCCAGAAAGACTTTGCTCAAACTCCGCTGGTCACAGCCCCGGACGGGGTGGCCTACCACATGACCAGCGACACACCGCTGCACCTGGCCCCACATGTGCAGCCCACGACCAAAGACATTCACTATCTCTGCCCTAGTAAACCCTTCCTCAAAGACAACACTGACGGAATCTGCGGTTTGCAACCCATGATCAGCGACACACGCTGCCTTGCAGAAGCCAAGCCTCGCACGCAAGTCACCGAGATACAAGCAGAGACTGTAGGTGACAGATGGCTCGTCAACACTCCCGTGCGAACAGCTACGCTCACTTACAACCAACATGACACTGCCACCCGTGTCACCTTGCTCAAACAGAGCGTGTGGTTTCAAGTACCGAAAGGTGCCATCCTCCACCTGGATGACCTGACATTGTTCCATCTTCCAAGCAAAGAGTACAGATTAGAACTGGAAACCCCATCCTTCGTCAGGAACCACACTGTCACCCTAACTCCAGAACGGGAATTGTGGTTTGCAAAAGGGGGTCCCAGTGAATTGACATTGCTCCTATCGACACAGCCCTCCAAGCTGTGTCTCGACTGCCAGTCTTGACTCCCGCACCTGTTGTCCAAGCCTGGACCGCAGCCGACACTGCGCGTTGCATCTCTACGGTAACCGGCCACACTCTGACACTAGGTTTGGCCTCCACTCTGCAAAGGAGACTCAACGAGATGCAAACATCTTCAGCCAAGCTCACGAAAGCCGTGCCTGAAGGTCTCAGACAGCATCCCCGGAAAAAGGGGGTGACAAGCCAGAGACCACGCCGAACCCCATCGAGCTGAGCCCTCAGCTCTAAGCTCCACCTGCCATCCTACTTTCCTGACTTACCTACCATCTGACCAATGTGACGGTTTAACGAGGCCGCCCACACGGGTCCTGCCAAACCGCCAAAAGGGGGAATGTAGTGATAATCAGATCGGTAGGTGAGCCAGCTCTGGTATGTGGGAGTGAATTAACTAGATTCTAATGTAGTTAAGTTCCCCTTTAACTTCCATTCATGAAACAAAGGGGATAGTGTGTTGAATTGATTAAATCATTGACTCTGACTCGCACAATGCAGCATCTTTCTCTAATGAATGAACAACGAAGTGCTTTGCTTACGAGTCGAGCCGCTCTGGACATGTGACTCGAGATAAGACCTCATGGGTCTGACCGACGATCACGGGGTCTGCTTGATTTGATCACTTCACAATGCTGCCTGAACGCTGAAGGACAATCACACGTTGATTGCACACACACACACACACAAATGTCCTATAATGTGTATATAAATGTATACTGTATAACACAGAAATTGGATCCAACCTTCCGGTATGCATGCATATCTAATTAGTCTTGTCTTATTCTATAGATGTAATTTTAACTGTTCTGTAACTTCGAACCTTAAAGTGTATTTCTAAAGAAAGATTCTATAACTCTCCCTTCTTGCTAGGTCATAAAACTTTATGACTCCCAAAAGGAATTCCAAGGGAAATCACAGCTCCCACTTGAATTCTGATGAAGAAAGGGGAATAGCCTCTGCAATCTTATATTGTCTATAAGTATAACCACTTAAGAAATGCATAAACATGAATTTGATATTTCCTAGGTCACGGTAGCCGGTATTATGGCTTTATAATCGTGTGAAGGAACATTAAATGCTTATAAAATGCATATCTTATGTAACTCTGTATTCCGATAATCTTCATGCGACGTGTCTGATATGTCTGTAATTCGCTCAATCTAACGGAGCCGAATTCCGATAGCATGATGAAGTAAGGTGCATTATTTTACACATTTCATATTTCAGGAGCCAAACGGCTCAAATGCAATCTCCACATGAAGTGGGCATCCCCCACAGGACAAAGGGAACTGTGTCCGCTTCAGATCCGCGGACGGTCATGTGTGATTCGCGCAAACAGAGGCGTGAACCTAAGTGTCCTTAAAGAGACGCGCCGAGCTTCCCTTGTAGGCTGCTGAAACCCTTCGGAAAGTTTCCTGAAAACTCTCTGCCTAAACTCCCTGGCTCTTCCTGCTCTTCGTGGCTTCATCATGTGACTCCTCGTGCGTCTGGACCTCGCCTTAGTGTGATGATCCATCGTTTCTCTTTTTGTTTTCTTCAAGTTTATTTTATCTTTTTCGAAGTCTCCTCTGTTCATGTCTTCTCGCGAAGAAAATGAACACAACCAGACTGGCAAGCTTCACCTACAAGGACATTCAAACACGCCGCGCTCGCTGGACGAACCCGAACGCTCGACATCCACCTGACAGAGATACACACACACGCCGTTTTCAGATCGGTCACACCCAAGAGCGCCTCTGCAAGTATCCGTCTTACTATGCTTATTTAAGATCTGTTGAGTCTTGTTCTAATTCAAAAGGTTCTGTGTCTGTGATGAATTGTACCAAGAAGATCTCATCTTCTCTCTCTCTCTCTCTCTCTCACTCCCAATCTTGCGCCCTCGCAACCTCTCTCTCTCTCTCCTATGTGTACTCGTCTGTCTCGTTAGTTACTGATTAACTGTACATACATGTATCCTGTGTTCAAATGTAGAATTCTGTATCCGTAGTTTCAATTATTAAAACCATATTCTTGATTGATCCTGAAGTGCTCATTTACAAGTCAATGAAATGAATATCTCGCTAAAAAGCTTTACAAGTTGTTACTATATCAGTAACGTAAATTTTATAAACACGAGAAAATTAATGTTCACGGCCGGAACATTGAGATTTCTTGGAGTTTATAAAAAGGGACAACCTTGTTGAGAAGTTGGTTAGTTAACCTTACGGCTGTTTGCTGGACAAACCGATTGTTTGATAACTAAATTGATTCCCTTAAAGTTGTCTCATATAATCGATCTGTAATGAGACCATTGATATATGAATGAGGAATTATAATTCGTTATGATTTACCATTCATATATACAATCGATCTATTTTCAATTTCGATAATTCAACTGTAATATGCAATATATTAATCATATACATGATTAATTATTAAAATTCCCTATGCATAATTTGAGCTAATTAAGGCACATCTCAATGTCGCTACATCTCTCTGCACTGGCATCTATTGCCATAGAGAAGGAGCTGCTCATTCATCTTAAGCAGGACACACAACTGCATGAGGAGGCCATTGAACATTTCATCTGAAAGGATCGGAGGGTGGATTTCATTTACAAGTAATGGGTGAGTGTTACGTCTTACTGTTTAGGAGAGATGAAGTTATTGTGGTATTTTATAAAGCATTTTTGTTATGGTTGTATCTGATTGGTATTGCTGGAGTTTGGGCTGTAGATGGTGATGCTGTGTTGATGTGCCTATAGCTGTTATAATGCACAGTGTGAGGTGTGTGTGCGCTGTGGTTGAAGATAAACTGTATCGTTGGTGTTACGCAGTAGTGCATTGTGATAGTATTTTTTGTATCGGTGCGTGTGGTTAGGGGTGTCATTGGTTAGGGATCGGTACTGAAGGCCCTGACTGAAACCCCACGGTACGCTACTGTCAATACGCCACAAAACCAACTGAGAACAGTATTGTCCTTTTTATTTAAAGGAATTAAATAATTAATTTGTTGAATTAATTTAAATAATTATGAATACTATTTAAATGGATTTAAAGGGAATAAAGAAAAATAAAGAAGAACAGTAAAATAAATTTTGAATATTCCGTTTCTTGTTTTGTCACATTCAATGAAATATATGAATCACACACATATAGTCATGCATATCACCAATTGAAAATGCAGAATTGTGGCAAAAATATAGAGTAACTTGAATAACTGGATGTTATTGTTGGACGTTTACCATTACTATTGTTATACAATTGGCGAATATTACATGTTTAGATTCTTTCGTCTTACTTCACATTCTTTTTCAAACTGAAGCGTCACGAGTGACTCAGTATCTGTACAGCCCTGGATTAGTTTGGAATGCTATTCAATGTTAAAACCTCTTTACAATTATTGCTCTCAATATAAAAGCATGTGTCACATGTCTATCGGTCAGTTCAGCTCTGAACATGAGCAGCGAGTCTCTTCTGAGTTCAGATCAACACTAGACGGACACGCTTGAGTCTCAATCCTCGAGACTTTCACACTTCAGATTCAGTGAACAGAGTGTCACTCTCTCATGGTTTGTGTTTTCCAGCAGGTTTTATCTGATGTGTTTCGTTTGTGTCCCTGTGGAGATCAGATTCACTGAAGGAGACACTAAAACAGTCATTCAAACAAAGATACGCTGGAAAACTCAACAGACGGTGAGTTTTATGAATGTGAATTCATTTAAATCATATTTGATAGTATTACATTTAACTTAAAGACATAAATGATGTGTGTTGAGTCTTAAATGTGTCTCCATGTTAAAGATGTTTGGATGATTGTTAATTAAATTCCAATCTTAAAGTCTAATTGATATTCTCACTAGTGATATCATTAATCAATCAGAAACATGCATTTTTAGGAGACCATGTGAACCGCTCCTGTTTGTGTGTTCATCAGATGTCAGTGTCCAGTGTCTTACTTTCACTTCCCTCTTTATTAATCTCTCTCTCTCTATCTATCTCTCTCTCTCTCTCTCTCTCTCTCTCTCTCTCTCTCTGTCTGAGGAAGTGGGCGTCTCTGACACATTCAGCTCTTCATGTTAAACATGTAACCAGGAAAGAAACACTGAAAACTCATCTGAACACACACCGAGAGCTTCAGAAGAACTGAATCTACTAACAACAGAGAAGATCATTTAATAAGAGAGAAGAATGAAGATCATCTGGACTTTCACTCTGATGATGATTCCTGGTAAGAGTCTGAACCCAGAGTACATCATGGAAAATAAATTTAATGAAAATAGATTTTCTGTTCAGTCTTATGAATATATTAGTTTTGTATTTAATGCTGGTTTGTTGTAGGTGTCGTGAGCTCCATGAGTGTAACAGGATATTCAGGAGGCGGAGTCAACATCACATGCAAATATGATGAAGGATATACAAAGAATAAAAAGTATTTTTGTAAAGGACAGTGGTCAGACTGTACAGACCAAATCAAGACTGATATTAAAGATAGTTGGTTTAATAATGGAAGATTCTCTCTGTATGACGACACAAGTTCAGCAGTCTTCACTGTGACCATCAGAGGACTGAGAGAAGAGGATTCTGGGACGTACCAGTGTGCAGTTGATATCCCTAAAGAAAAAGATCCCCACACTGAAGTGAAGCTGAAGGTTTTAACAGGTGAGAAACTGAGATCCTCAAACTCATGAAGATCTCCACAACATCACGATACTCAACACTGCCTGTAATCACTGACGTTCACATGGAAAACTCATAACAGACGTGTTTGTTATTAAATGAAGATGAAGTATCATTACTGACTTCATTCTTTACACAATATTATCTGTGTTTGTGTTCAACAGGTCAAAAAATCAGGACCGTAACAGGATATGCAGGAGGAAACATCATTATAAACTACAAATATGAGATGAAACACACAAATCATGTGATAGGCGTCTGTAAAACTGTAGCAGATCAGTGTTTTACTATAATAAACACTAACAGAAGAGCAGAATGGACACGTGACAGACGATTCTCCGTCCATGATGACAGATCTGCAGGACTCTTACGTCTGTTTATCAGAGACCTGAATGAGAACGACTCTGGAAAATACAGAATTACAGTCAAAGTTTCTGAAGATTACAGTTTCTTCTCTGAGTTTGATGTGGACATTAAGACGGGTGAGCTGCTTTCAGTCATTTATGCATTATTGACAGGATCCATGAATATATCTGGTGATCAGTGTTGGGAATAACGCCATTTAAAAGAACGGCATTAGGTAACGGCGTTATTTTTTCAGTAACGGGGTAATCAAACTAATTACTTTTCCTGTCGTTACACCGCCGTTAACGTTACTGGACGTTAAATGTGGTGCGTTATGACGGGCGTCAGTTTTGAAATGTGCTGGGGACAGAGACGCATTTGGAAGTGCATTTTCAGAAGTGGTACAAACTTGTCAAACTGTGCAGCCTCTCTGCTCAACCCGTAAATAAATCCACCGATCCGCAAATGTTGTTTGAGTTCTTCAGTGGTCCAGTGGTAGATCTTTTGCCAAGCGTGTCAGAGGTTACAGGTTCTAATCCGCACTCATATAGTTTTTTTTTCTCTCACCAAAACTGTATGGTTCTTTCCATATAATTGATTAATATAGCGATTTTCCATAAGTCAATTTAACAGCATTATCATTTGAATGATTTTAAAAACAGTATGGCATAGATAGTTTACAAAAAACCTTATGCTATTAAGTCACACACAGACATCAACAATCAGCGTATGAATCTCAACAATGGTGACACTCAAATGAAACACTTCATGTTGCAATGCATGCTGGGTATCACCTTAATACAGAACTCCCAGCATGCATTGCAGCATGCATTGCAGCATGCATAAATTATGCAGCTGAATTGTCTTATTTTCTTTTCTTCTTACCATGTGCTTTTAATTGTGTTGTTGTTTTTTGATGTGACTTTTTAGTAGTTTGATTTGTGATGTTCAGAGTAGGGATGGGACGGTATGAAAATTTAATATCACGATTATAGTGACCAAAGTTATCACGATTATCAATATTATCACGGTTTTGTTAAAATGAGATGGAAATGTTCAAAAAGAACTGATGCTCACCCTGAAAACATTTGAAAATCAACAAACAAAAAAATACAATTAGCAGGCTAGCAGCTATATGCACTTTTTTAAGCATCAACATTATATTAACATTAACATGGAGCCCTGAGAGTGAGAGGTATAAGTTTTCCTAGTGCAGGTTTTAATGAACCCGTCATTAAACCCTATCATTAATAATGATAATAACACTTATGGATGTGTGTATGACTGAATATTATTATTATTATTAATAAATAATAAATCGCTTTCTCTCTCTCACACACACTCACACGCACGCACGCACACACTTTAAATGAACAAAATATATTGGTTGGGTCAGGGTGACTAAACTACTGGAATACTTATAATGACTGATGTAAATAGCAACGCACTACACAGCGCACATCCATGTCTCGGATCACCGTGGACGCAATCTCTGGTTTCATTCAAATGTGTATGTCTTGCGTCTCAGTTTTGATTGTATTGAAAATTAAATCAGAGTAATTTAGTATTAATACTACTACAATATTGTTGTAGTGATCACATTTACTTTACGATTGATTTGGACACTGTAACTTGTATAATGGATTTATAAACCGGCAAGATTTAAAAACATTAAGTTAATCACAATTCAATATTTCATGTCCCTGAAATTATTTCTGTGGTTAAAAATAAAACTGTAATAAGTTTACTATGAATGAATACAATACATTATCCCTTAAATGTCACCCTTAATAGTTTGAATATGTTCGATCGTCTTGGCTCAAATCCACTTGCTGTAAAACTTTTCTCTTCGCGGAAGCTTTGCAATAATTACAAGTGAGATCATTAAATAATTCATCTCCAATAATTTTTTTGTCTAATTATTTGCCCAAGTTAGTTGTGCTATTAAGGTACAAATTAACTCAGTGGGTGGTTGTCACGTAACGTTAGATGACTTAGCAGATTTGACGTGTTTCCCCCTTTTGCAGCGACTTTCCTCTTGCAAGATTTGCAGACAGGGTGCCCATCCTCGATTAAATTGCCCTCGGGACTCTTGTAATAGCCAAAATACGACCATACCTCCGATTTTGTCCTCTTGGATGGCTGAAAAATCTCCCGTGCGCTGTCACTGCCTTCCGCCATGTCTTCTCGCGCAAAAAAACAACATTGCATCTGCGCGCCTGCTCGCGTCGCGCCTGCGTCAGACTGATTCTGGCTGGACAGGATTTACCGCGAGTTTTCAAAATCACGATAATCAAACACGGTTTTTATGATAATTAAATTTTAAACGATAATACTAACCGCCAGGACATTTTATCGTGGTTTATCGTGAAACCGGTAATCGTCCCATCCCTAGTTCAGAGTTGATATATCAATAATATGTTTGTCACCATAGTTGAGGTTCATATGCTGATTCTTGATGCACGTGTGTTCCAGTTGCTTTAAAGGTTTTGTGAATCTTATATATATCTCAAAAACAAACTACCTGATTTAATCACAACTGAACACCATCATCATGCTGTAGAATCACACGACTTTACCTATCAGTAAGGAGAAATCTATTACAATTTCATAATCAAAAAATTATTCTGATCAAGCCACTAGATGTTGTCAAGGCCGATATCAATAGACATCCATCAACACCTGAACATCATTTTACTTGACTTCTATTGCCATAACAAATTTGTCTCATAAAGACATGGTTATAGAAATCAAAGCAAAACTAATGTTAAACTTATCAAGAGTCAAGAGCCCAACTAAAGTAAACACTAATCACGATCATGGTAACTTCAAATGAAATATTTTCAATAAATCATCCCCATCTAACCCTCAGCTATGTCTCAGTAAGTCTGACTCTGATTATGACAGAAATAAAGTGAGTCTGGTTAGTAATAAGTGAAGCTGGTAATGCTGTTTGTGGAGTTGTTTAATCCTCCTCTGCTGAGATCTTCACAGATTTAATGTCTTCTTTTCTCCTCAGTGGATTTCCTCTAAGGCTGTGGCTGAAGTCAGTTGTTTCCTGAAAAATCTCACAGTCAAAATATACTCAACAAAAAAGTAAAATTATGTGAATTACTTTATGTGATTTTATGTGTTTTGGCACATAATGATATAGTGGAGATCTGTTAGTGTTTAATCTGTTGGGATTTAAAGTGTTTCTGTTGAGTTTTGTGTGTCACCATTGTGTTGAAGAGTAGAGCCTGTGCTTCAGTTCAGGAGGAGCAGAGAAACATTGAGGTTAAGCTGAATGTTGCTTTATTTAAAGGCAGTGACTGTGTATTTGCTGATGCATTAAAGTTATTCAACTCATTCATGTGTGCTGTTTAGTTAAATGTATGTTTCTAGTTAACTCATAAAGTCTTTTTCTTAGTAGACTCAAATGAAATTAGCTCACGGTATAATTATTTAATCGCAAATTTCCTCAAATGAAATGAGTTGTCTCAGGTTTTCAGTGTTTCCCCTACAATGTATTTAGCAGCGGCGCAGCGCCCGCCACTGGATTTTCAGCGCCGCTGCAAAATCTTCACATGATCAGTAATATCACGACATTCACTTACACACCTAAAAACCCTGAGACACGGCGACCGCCGGCGCTGCTAATGCGGTGGCTCTGAATCCACTTGTTGACAAGAAAGGAGGAAAGAGCCACATATGGAAATATTTTCGATTAGGCTAATGTCACGTTACCAAAAGGGGCCGTTCACATAGCGCGTTTCTCTGCGCGTGCAAATTCGTTATTTCAAATGTAGGCGCGCTGGAAGCGCGCTCGTTTTTCCAGGCCGCCTCTGTTCATGATTGCATAGCACGGGAGAGCAAGCGCTTTTGGAAAGGAGAAAGCGGCGCTCTCCATGAGGACGAGGAAGTATCAGCAAAGAATGAATTGATTTCTAGCCCTTGCATTAGCTTTACTACTAGATATATTTATGGAGATGAGAAATAAAAAGCTGCACTGTACAGCTATGATCAGCTGTTCGGCCGAGCTTTCGATGTTGTTACGGAAAAGCCGAAGCTGATCGGTTGGTTTTTGTCACGATGTTTTCATCTCGCCACGCGTTTATGGAATTGAAATAACGAATTTGCGCGCAAAAAACGTGATATGTGAATGGCCCCTAAAGTGGACTCGGGTACGGTTGTATCGGGGTAGTTTTGCGAGTAGGAGTACATGAGCACAGTATCGGACCGACACCCGAGTACTGTTTATGCTGTTTGTTTGTCCATCAGAAAAGCAGTTCTAGGCTTATTCTTGGCTGGATAACTCTTAGCAGGTTTAAAAAGCCTTTTAAAATTAAATATGAACACAGTTTTGGATTAAATAAAACTACAGTCAAGTCAAATAAAACACGTTTTATCTCCTGTATTGTTGTATCTAACATCAACACATTGAGTGAACAATATATTTTTACAACATGAATTGATGTTTGTGAATGTTATTTAATACAAACACTTGATTGTTCATGTTTGTTCACTTCATTCAGTTTGCATTAAATAATGTTAACATAAAACTTTTGATTTTAAAAATGTTAGAAAAATTAAGTGCTCACAGATTGGGTGTGGCCTTTGCCATTAAGATACAATTTTCAATAAATTCTAAATAATCTTTTTCTGGGTTGTGCCATTTCATTTTTCCCCTATCAATATCTACCTTATAGCTTAAAATTAACACAAAACAAAAACGTGAAAAATCCTGTCTAAAATTATAAAATGAAGATTTCTGTTTGTGACCAGTTCAAGGTACGTGCTGCAATAATCATGCCTTGAATCTGTTATGGTATGTCATATTTGTATGTCTCAAAATGTCCATTTATATCCACAAAACTTGCCAAAAGTCATGGTTTAAGGGGTTATTTAAAAAAATATATTCTTCCGGAGGTGCATGCCCCCGGACCCCCGCGCGCAACTTGGTAACATCCTCCGGCACGTGACAGCACCGCTGCTGGAAAAATTTCTAGGGGAAACACTGGTTTTAATTCAATGCATTATTAATAACAGTAACATACTGTAAAAAAATAAAGTAAAGAACTGTAAATTCACAGCTGGTCTTGTTTTGCTGTTTTTACAGGTGTGCTGTATTTTTTACAGTATAATTGTAGTTTATGATTTACAGTACTCTTGTAAAATGTACAGGCTTACTGGCAACCAAAATTGCCAGTAAGTTGCAGTAATTTTTACAGCAATTTGTTACAGATTCAGTCAGATATTTGTGATTGACAGCTAAAGTGGGCGTGTCTAGAGCGACTGGCCACTCAGGAGGTCGTATGATGATCAAGTGTGAACATCCTCAACACAAAACCAAGCCAAAATACATCTGTAAAGAATCAGACGGATGTTCAGAGAGGAAGAATCCAGGAGTTCAGGATGAATGGGTGGAGAATGGAGATGTTTCTTTATATGACGACACCAGAGCAGGAGTCTTGATGGTGTTTTTTAGAGAGCTGAAAACTGCAGATGCAGGAACATACAGATGTGGAGTGAATGTGTCTCACTATACTGAGAGCTTCACTGAACTTCAGCTGGACGTCAGAGACGGTGAGGAACCAGATATACTTTATGATTAATATAAAGTATTGTTCTGTTCTTTATGTAAACTTGTCCTGGTTTATAGGTGTAAAATATCCAAAGACAAAGACTGAATCTGCTCATCTTGGTGAAGAAGTCAACATCACCTGTCAGATCCCAGAGGAACATAAAGTTTATTTCTGCAAAGATGATGATGATCACATCTGTCAAAACATCAGCACATCTGCAGTGACAGAAATGAGTCCTTCATCTGAGAGAAATGAAGAGAGAGTTTTTACAGTGAGCATCAGTAATGTGAGTGTGAGAGATGCTGGAGTTTACTGGTGTGGAGCAGAAACCAGAGACACACATTTGACTTTCATCTCCCTGACCACCAAAATTCAGCTCGACCTCTTCAGTGAGTGAATTCAGATGATTTTATTATAGTAAATACAGTATATTCAGAATAATGTGTGTTAAATGTCTGTGTTTGTTTGCAGTGGCTCCAGTAGTGAGACGTGAAGGAGAATCTGCTGAGATCTTCTGCCCTTATGATTCAATCTATAAATCAAAGTCAAAGTTTCTCTGTAAGGGGAAGTGCTCCACTAGAGATAGAAATACTCTCAATGAGACTGTGAGAGAAGAGAAAGACACCAAGACTGACAGATTGACTCTGAATGATGACGTCACTGCAAGTGTCTTCACTGGGACCATCACTGGACTGACAGCAGAGGATGCTGGGAAATACTGGTGTGCAGTGACATTAGAGAGAGACGTGAATTATCTTTACACTCATCTGATCGTCATCATGAACGAGGGTGAGGAAGGTTTATACATCTGAATATGTGAAACTATGGCTGTGAATTGATGTTCTTATATTTCTAATATTTCCAGAGCTGAACTTGACTAAGTATGAAGGAGACGACATGTCAATCCAGTGCAAACATCATGATGAACTTCAGAAATGCTTCTGCAAAGCACATGAACCCTCTGTGTGTGTGAAGGATGGAGTTTCATTGGAGAAGATCAGAGATGATCGATTCTCTTTCAGTGATGAAGCTTCTACTGGAGTCTTTACTGTAAACATCACTGATCTGAGAGAAGAGGATTCTGGGATATACTGGTGTGGAGCTCACATCACCACTAAAGTCAATCTCACTGTTAATATTGGTAAGTCCCTGATCTTTTTGAAGATTTATACTAATAATAAAGGTTCCCTTTTGAAACGTTTACTTGCATTCAGTCTTTGCAAGACGCCATGGGGAAAACTCCCTTTTCTCCGAAATTTTTAAGCCTTTTTTCCAAAAACGCAGTGCCACTGCACAGCCATAACAGTGTAGGAATCTGAGCGTGCCTATTGGCTGGACTCAAATTTGCCATAGGAATCAGATTTATTCTCCTTCAGTGATGAACTTACCTTGATGATTCTCGAAGAAGCCTTCTCGCCGTTGAAGAAGCCAGGCAGCGGAACGAGTGCTCTCCTGCAATCCAGCGACCAGCAGAGTTTGATCAGCGTGCGCTCGGGCCAGTTTGACTCACTGTCTCCAGTTTGGCTATCCCGTGAGTATATTATACATGGATGCAGCACTTTCCCCCCTAAGAAAGAAGGGGATGCGCATCCTGGCTCATCTTGGCCCAGTTGGAGGAAGAATATGTGACGGAAGGAATCTACATAGGAAGAAATCCTTTCTCACTAATCTGTGCTCCTCAGGACTCAGACTCAATCCAGCCAAGAGATCAGACAGAACATCTCTCTCCTGGGAGCGGTTCTAGACTCGTGGCGAACCCATGATCGCACTCAGACTGTTCAGCGGCTCTCCCTTTCGTTCAGAGCAGGAGCCCGTATCCCTCTCAGAAGCTTTCAGAGGATGCTGGAGCTCATGGCCTCTGCATCGCCAGTACTTCCGCTGCGCCTTCTGCACATGCAGTTGTCTACCAGATGTCTTTAGCCTCGTTGTTATTGTTCGAATCCCGCTCCAAATGGGTCAGGTAGGACCAGTTACATTTGGTGCCGTGACCCGGGTGGGAGTGAGGTTTAGGGTGTGAGTGTAACGGAGGCCAGGTAGTAAAAGCCGTGTGTGTAAACCTCACTCCCCTGATCTCAAGAGGTACGCAAGCGACAGAAGCTAGAGACTGCAGATCTTAGCGTCCTCGACGTCAGATCGAATCCCGCTCAGAGCGGGTCGAGTAGGACCGGTTACATATTCGCCATGAACGTTTCATACTTATGCTATATATATATATATATATATATGATATTACATCCCTGTTTCTCCCTAATGTGTTTGTGTGTTTTTCAGATTTCTCTTTGATCAACATTATTTCTTTGTGTTTGACTCTGCTGCTGATTGGAGGATTCATTGTGACTCAGTGTTTATTAAGATGAAGTAAAGCTGTCCTTCACACACACACACACACACACACACACACACAGACACACCACAAACACATATGCAGTGGCGGTTCTAGAGGGAGGCCAGGGGGGGGGCAGTGCCCCTGTGACAAAAAGCTTGGCCCCCCTTGTGGCCCCCCTAAATGTGGAGTTTTAAATATTTTGTACAAAACTTTTTTTTGCTATCGTTGTTATCGTTGTATGCATATTATTTTTTTATTATTCTATCTTTGTGGATTTGCATTTTCACGTGAAAATTCGCATCACATTCGCGGGAATCGCGGCAGAATAACGTCTGTCTCCTGCACGCGAGAGAGGAGAGAAGGAGAAAGTTGGTAAATGTCAGTTCAGTTGTAAGTTCATTCTTTATGTGCGTATGGGGTGTGTGATGTGTAGCCTATTGTCTATTATGATATTGTAATCATTGTTTTAACTATGTACGAGGCACTGTGAGCTGACATCGCATTTGTCTATCGTCCTTTCACTGCTGTGTGCAGTTCATAGGTTCCCAAATTAGTTTTTGTCTTATATTTATATCATATTATGTTCTTATATTAGAATATCACATCAGCAAGAGTGCCGTTTTCCCGTGCACAATTGCAACTGTGATATTTATGTTATACAACAGTTAAATTAACAAGTTAACATTGGGAAAACTTTTTACACACAATATTGTCAATATTGTTTGTTTTCCCTTTATTTCGCCGACTAGAATTTCATAATGAAACCGTAGCAGAGTCTCAATGCAACACAGCGATGATTTATTGACTGAAATCCGCGTTTTGAACGAATCACTTGCTTCTTTCCCGAATGAATCAGCCGTTTGAACAAATCGGTTGAATGAATGAATCCCTCTTACAGGGACTTGCCGCCGCCTACTGGCGGTTTTAGTTTCATATTTAAAGTTTTTAAAACGTTAAAATTAGAAATCATTTCATATTTAAATATTGATTTTAAAAAAATCTCATAGCTTTATTTATGCAATTGTAAATGGAGTGTAAATATATTAATGCCACTTCTGTGTCACCTCTGCACTGCAAAGATGGATTTTGATTGAATTAATTAATTTGACTGGTAACAGTGGTACTGTATAATTATTGTATAATTAAATATTATTGTATAAATAAGTATAATCATTGTATAATTTGAATGTTAGTATTTGACATAAAAGGTGATGTATAACTAGGGTTGGGTACCGAAACTCGGTGCCAATAGGGAACCGGTTCCGACGTAAACGGTAGTAACCAGACCGAATAAGAACGACAATTTCGGTGCCTGATTTCGGTGCCTGACTTAATTAGGCACACACGCACACACACACGCACAGTCTCTTCTGTCTCGCATGCGCGCTCTTGCTCGCAAGGTTTGGCTGCATTTCACGTGTAAAATTACGCGTCAGAACGCCCTCTGGGTGTGCCGATAGTCTGAATCCATATAGAATCAAGCCAATTCATTGGCTAATGGCGCGGGCGCCGCATCGACGCACTTACGTCGTCATATTATGTTGGCGCGCGCCATCTGCTCCTCAGATTTCTCTGCCGAAAAAGGAAGCTGGTCGGCAGCGCGAGGAGCTTGGCAGCGTCTCGTTCCCTATTGAGAATGAGAAGGTGACGTCACGCGTATCACTCCGCGTTGCATTGTGGGAAGGATTCGCCATCTTGGTAGGATACGCTACCCGTTGTCATGGTTACTTCGACTGTGAGACCGAGATAAATAGCGACAGAGAGAGAGAGCAGCTTGATATTTGTTTGCATTTTTGCGATAAGGCACAGTTTCTTGGGAATAAATGAAGAAGGGGGAAGCAAAAGGAAAGGGGCTCTATCGGGAGAGACTAAATAACAACACAAAGCAGCGTTATTTAGAGAAACTACTTGACATCAACATGGACCCGTACGACCTGCTACAGAATGGACGAAAGACCCAAAGCACTACCACCTTTCACATACGCTAACATAGTTAATTACCTGGTTTGTTTATGGTATCAGTGACTAACGTTACTGCCTACACAATGCAAGAGTTCAGAAGCTTTAAGTCATTAGAAGCTGAACAAGTCTGTTGCGGCTGGGTGCAAGACTTTGAAACCCCCAAACCTGTAACGTTAAACTGCGAGAGTTCAGTCATACTTGATGTTTCATTCAGGCCTCATTCATGTGGAAATAAATCTGATATGAATCAGATACATGCATTTGCACCTGCCGTGCACCGTTAAGCGAACAGATCGGACATTCCCCTGTCAATGCGAATCGTACGTCATTAAAAAAAGTGTATTTTTTAAAACATTTCACGGTACAGATATATCTATAACAAATGAAACAACTCTAGTTGAATAACAGAGTATTAATTTTGTTCGTTTGTGTTAAATAAAAGGCGAACTGTGCTGAAATGTGTTGCTTTTGAAAGCAGGCTTTGCTCGCTGTTGCTGCTGTCAGTTTATTGACAAGCAGTTTCTCTAAGCTGGCTACATTGTTATTTAGTCTCTCCCGATAGAACCCCTTTCATTTCTCTTCCTTCTCCATATCTTCCAAAGAAACTGCGGCGTATCGGTAAAATGTAAACAAATACTAAGCTGCGCTGTCTCTCTTTTTCGCTATTTCTGGAATGTTTAGTCGCGCCTCTGTGAAGTTCTGAAGGCGTTGCCCCTGGCAACCGATAGCGTCTCCTACCATCATGGCCGACCGGCTCAGACCCCGCCCAAATCGGCACATGACTCCTCACTCTCAATTGAGAGAACATAGGTTACACCAGTAACCAGAGATGTTCTCTTTCATAGGTTCACTCAACGCTGCGTAGCTAAGAAGCAGTGTATTTGTATTTGTAGGCTGCTGTATCACGTGCCGTTTGAACTGACGCGCTACAGCGATCTGTCACATTTCAAAGAGCCAAAACGTTATTTATTGTGTGAATCTCGTAAAAATATTGACAGAATCTGACAGTTGTGGATTTGTTCCATATCAAAAGTAACCTTCTCTGTCTTGTCTGTCGGTGTCCTCGTCCGCGATTTTTCTTTGCGTGAGAAAATGCATGAGTGGCGTGAGAGCGTGTGAAAAGGGTCAATCCGTGAGAGTTGGCATCTCTGCCTGCTAGTAATCTCTATTAATCTCCAGTATTATTACATTGTTTGATACAATATTGTTTTATTTGATATTATGTAAATGTGTAAAATGTAATGTAATTTTTTTTTATTTTATATTAGTTTTATTATTATTTGTATTTATATTGTTTAAAGATTTAAGTTAATATTGTGTCCAGTTTGGCCCTGTAAATAAAAGGGTATTATTTTTTGATTAAGTGTGTCGTTTCGTTTTCTTAAGTACCGTTTCAAGAACCGTTTAAGCACCGGAACCGTTTAAAAAATACCAAGTAGGTACTGGTATCGGATAAAACCCAAACGATACCCAACCCTATGTATAACTCTAAATAAGTTTAGAAAAAATGTCCATATATAGGTGAAAATGCCCCTGGAAATCAATTTAAGGTGGCAAATATTGAACTGACCACTGCATTTAATATGAAAAATATTAATATTTTCGTGAGTCAGCTGTCAACAACAGGCCTATAGCAGCCATGGCACCAGCACAAAAACACAATCAGTAAAATATCATCAAATTATTATCAACAAAACGTTGAAAATATTGAAATATATTTTTGTCAATATTGCACACCCCTAATGTACGGTATTCATTTTTATTTCTTTAGGTCTTAAAAAGCCTTAAATTTGACTTTAAAAAGTGTGCAGGAACCCTGTAAACGGTTAGACGTAGTTACCTAGCAAGTCAGTTATTTTCAGTAAATGAATTAATAAGCTTCTTGGTCCCCATTGCTTTTGCTCTATAGTTCTCAAAATTAAGAGAAAGAAGGACATCATGTCTATTACAGTTACTGTGACTAATACTGAATATGTAATGCAAATGTAAAAATATAATGGAAATGCAAATACATTGTTGAATGATTATAAACACGGTATTTTGGCTGTTAATGCCTGCAGCAGTGCAAAAAATGATATGACAACAATAAGGTCTAAATGTAACTGGCCCCAGCTTGCCCCCCAGCAGTTGAAATGGGCTAGAACCGCCACTGCACATATGCACACACATTCATCTATGAAGCAGATTATAACTATTAAAGACTAACAAAAACCCTGAAATAATAGGATGTTTATGAAGTCTTTTTAACAAATTAGGACATTTTAAAATGTTTAGTCAGATGCATCTCACTGTTGTTCATCGCTGATGTTGTGTTGAGATCTTAAGGATGATCTCATCATCGGACGAGACACAGTGAAACAGTGAGTCTGTGTCTTCATTCACTGAACTTCTTGTGTTTCATTTGTAAGTTTCATTCTGCACATCATGTTTTTCTCTTTTTTATTCTCAGATCGCATATTCTTGAGCAGATTCATGAGTAGATCCACTTATTCGTCTACTCACCTTCCCACAATCCCCTCTGATGGCTTTATATCTGTGAATGTGCGATTTATAGACCAACAGTTTGTTTAGCATGGCCTTGATTTTAACCATTATTATTAGAATTATCAGTTTTTTTATTATTAAAAGTGTTTCAAAATAAAAAAAAGGCTTTGAATATCTTTTTGTCATGAGCTGTTTCATGAACTCTGTGGTGTGTGTGTTTGCGTGATGAACTGGTCATTTTCCGACCGTCTCAAAGCCACAGAAAACAGGTGAAGGTTCAGGCTCTAATTTTAGATCTTTTCTATGAACAAACACACTTACTCAGGAAACCCACACAGAGACACATGAGACTGAACAGAAGAATAAAGAGCTGATCGTTCAGTCATTTGCTTCAATATTTACTGTGTTTGATGAGGAAAAGGCTGAAAAATTGTACTTTTAAAAACTGATCAAATTAAATAAACACAATGAGCCACAAATCAATGACAGAATATCTGTAAACATCCTATAAATATCGTAAAAATGGAAACCACGTTCACTGTGAATAAAAATTTTAAATCATAAAAATACTTGTATTTATATATT